CACTTTCTGGGTGTAAGCTAGTGTCCCTATATTTGTTTCAATGCAGAATGGCACAGAATATGATCTCAGCCCTCGTGGTGCAGAACCTGTATTTAGAAGAAATTGCACGTTGGTCATCAAGAAGCAAGCAGTTATTACAGCAGTATTTTACGCTGCAGTGGGACTGGCCATGCTCTGATTTGCCATACTGTGCTCCGGGGTTTTCATTGTAAATAACACAGTACATGGAAAGCTGGAAACCCCAGGCAATTCCCTTCCTACTAAGCCACAAGAGTGCTGGCCCACAGCCAGCTTTGGGCTGGTTCTGCTGCAGAACTCTACCAGTTCTAACCTTCTTAAGACCTCTAAAGCTGACTCTAGCTGTAAAACCCCTCTGGTGTTGTGTAGCCCAAACTGTTTCTGGCAGTGTGTGAGCAGGCAGCCCACAGCAGCATCACTCTGTCCTGGCACCTGGGGGCTGCAAACTGCCAGACAAAATTTCTGACTGTTTTAAAACATATTTTTATAGCAGTTTGCAAATTCAGGTGGGTAGCAGGGTAAAAGAGGCTGAAACTGAAGCATGGCAAAAGCCAAGCAGATTTGCCAGGATCTAGCTTTACTTCTATCCTTCAGCTTTTTGCCTGCATCTCTTCTGAGGAGCAGGCCTATTGGGGCAGCAGCTGAGCAAGGGCCGGGTAAAGTGCTTCAGGAACAATAGTGCTCTGCGACCGATTCGTGAAGTCTTGTTTGTTTGAGGAAGCTGAAATAGAGCAAGTCATATGCAAGCACACGTGCCAGGCAGTGTCTGCTGCTGCGCTGCTGAAAGAGCACTTCATGCTGCTGAGAGGAAGCAGCACGCTTACACAGACAAGTGGTGACAGCTGCCCTCATGTGGAGCTTTCAGCAACATCCCAGTTTATCCCCTGCCAGTGAAGTTTCAAGCCTTGCATGCAGTGGAAGAACCTTACACTAAGCAATTTTCTTTCTTTTCAGTAAAAAATAATAATTAATCTTTGAAAAGTGCATTTCTCTGCAGCGGCTGCTAAGGACAGCCACTTCACACTTCGTGGTGAACCCTCGGTTGTCCTCTAATACAGTGCTTGGCACACTTTTGCACAAGCAAACTTTAAAAGGAGTTTTCTTGCAAAGCAGAGCAAATAGCGTTTCATCATAGCCATCACCTTCAGGTTAACATAATCAAGAACAAGAATTAAATGCCCCACATAGTGGTGCTTTTGAAAATGCATTTCTTCCCATGGCCCGTGGGGAGCAGCACATGAAACGCAGGGTGTGAGTTGTGCACACGTTTGAAATGAATCTGAGTGCAGCCAGCTTGTCTGCCGGGGTGCCTCTACAGGGCACAGAGGTGACTGCAGAACTTTTCGTTGCCTTAAGCGTGGCTTCCAAAGGGGCGAGGCACATCGATTGCTCTGGTGTCAGCTGTCAGCCAAACACACAGCCTGAATGTCACTCATATCTTCAAACCCGGTCTGGCTCTGCAATATATTTCCCCAAGACGCTTCTCATTTGGTGTTTTGCTGGCATCTTCAAACTTCAGCTTGCAACTATTGCCACTGCACACTTGCGCCTTTCCATTGCCTCTTTTGTAACCTCCTCCATCAAATGTGTTACGCAGTCACCAGGGAATCTCATACAGGACACTCCTTTAGGACAGCCCTTCTCAGGATATCCCATCAATCTGCTGCACTAAGCAAGACTTACCTCTCTATTCCCCACATGTCCAACATTCCATATTTCAACATGACAAAAATATGATTTACAGTCCAGGTGTTGCATGGGCATAATGATTTGAGTGCCCTTATGTCCATTTAAAGACATAATCTGCTTTTTCTTGAATTCAAAATTATGAGTATTTGTAACCACTCCTCCCAAACTGAGGATCTGTTTCCTTCCCAGTGCTGTCTCTTGAGGGTTTCACAGAAATGGCATCCAACTGCTGTAAAACCCCTGCCCTGAGCCACCAACGGCACTGGCTACTAGAAGACCTTATCCTCATTAGTGCTGCTAAGGAACTCAAGCTGTTGTGGCTGACACAAGATAAGGTGTCACTCACACCCCATAGGGACAGCAAGACCAATGCTGACTGTTGACTGAGGAGCAGAGTCTCACTGATGGGCCAGAGGCTTTTAGGAAGAAACTGAAAGGTCCCCCAGAAGGTCTGCTTTTGCACCAGGTATAATCCTGCATCTGTCAGCACAGACCAGCTGCTCTCTGCCTTCTTGGATATGATCCTGGATGCACAGCTGGCCATTGGCTGCCTGAGAATGTTGATGGCCCCGGGAGCATTCAGCAACTCTTGGCATCCTGTGTTTATCTGTTCCTGCAGAGTCAACAGCACCGCTAATCTCTGGATTCGTGGGAGGCTTTCACCAGCTATCTCTCAGCACACTCATCCTTCTTTAGCCTGCTATTTTCTGGGTACTGCTTCTCCATCCATTCTGAGTGTACCCATCCACAGGAAAAAAAGACCTTTTCAAAGCAAGAGTTCAATCTCAAGCAGTGCAGCTGCAAAGATGCAGTACCCTGTGCAGGTATCAAGCACTGGTCAGATGAGGCTATATCTCCTCTCCCTGTCTGGTGCTAGAAAGATCATGTATTCACTAACAATCCTTTTGAAGCTAAAAAGAATGGCCAAAGCCAAGCACTGTAATGACAAGTGTGGGACACATGAGCTGAGCTGTGAGCTCCCTCCTCACAAAGAGGGAAGTGCTGGAGTACATAGGTCTGCACTTGAGTTATGCCCACAAAACATAACTTAATCCCTAATGAAAACCTGCTTCAATTGTTTGCATGACCCCAAATGTTTTCCCGTGGTCACAAATTTTACCTGAGCATGCAGAGGATATACAAACTGTTTCCATCAGAAAAGGCCCAAATATTTAGTCTATCTCAATCCCATAGTCACCCTAATCCCACTACTAATCCCTATCAGTACTAAACTAAAATTAACCCTAGCTCTATTTCTACCACTGAACACACACTAAACCTATGCCTGCCATTAGTCCTAGGAAAAAAGATTTTATCAGTGAAACTAATACAGTGCATTTATTCATCTCCCCCCACATCAAAACTTCCCTAAACTAATTCAATTGTCCTGAGAAAGCTTCAACCCACTAAAAAACTTGGAAGTAGGAGGACATAATCATAACCTTACATGGAAATTCAGCATTAATCCCGACCTTAACTGCACATCTCATGCAGGGACCTATGCAGAGCATTTCTCAAACAGCTACCAGGTGGTGCAACCTCTGTGTGGAGTGCCCAAGAGGATCTGGGCTTTGAAAACCCCAGATGACTCTAGTCTTCCTTTGGCAATTCATCTCCAGTCCCAACATGCTACCTCTCCTTGCTATCCCTATGGCACAGTCCTGTCAAGCACTCAGACACGGTTCCTTTTCAAAAGTATTCTTCTATTTTCCAGCCATTTTGTTGAGAGGAAGGGGTGCGAAGTACATCAGCTTCTACTCAACATGGCAGTGTAAGACATTTAAATTACAGCAACAAACAAACAAATACTATTTCCATACATCAGTGGATGGCAGTGCTGATGAGGAGCTCACAGTGAAAGGAAGTGCTTCTGATGGGATGGGAGCTTCTGTACAGATAAATTTTAATCAGTTTCCTGCAAAGACTGCATTTGGAAGAGTATCAAATAATATATGAACTCAGGTAAGATAAAATTAATTAGTAACCAGAAGTTTCCATCACACAGGAAAAACTCAGTGCTGCCTAAATGTAACATAAATGTCAGGTTGGTAGAGACCTATAGGGCAAGTAGCAAAAGGAGCCAGGCAACCTGTGCCCTGAGTTATAAATCCACTCAATTTCTCCACAGTTCAAAGAAAATAAGTGTCATTGTGTATCTCATGATCTCTATCTCCAGAATAAGTAATAGATTTACAGTTGATTTCAGGGTGTCCAAAAGGGAGGAGCTGTGACACCAGATCCCTCTTTCCCCAGCACCAAAAAAATGCCAGCATATCTCATATCCTGCCTCCTTCCTGTTCTGCAGCACTCCAGCTTTACCCATCTTCCTTCCCTACCTGTCTATCCTAGTTCTCTACATCAACACTCCTTTGGGCATCTATTCTCCCTCCACATGTGATCTCTTCCTATGTGCTTGCCCTCTTCTTGGCACTCTGCATTTTCTTGGAAGGAAAGTCTCGACTTTGAATATGAATATGATCATTGACATCTCAGACCAAGCAAATATAAAATTCATGATCTCAAAAAACAACTGAAAGACAAAAAGTGTTCTGTGCACGGTTTACAGCACTGTTGTCTCCTTGTCTGTGACCTCCTTTTCCACATACACCATCTTTGTACCACATCAGGAAAATAGTCTTTAGAAGAGGTCAGAATCTATCAGGAGCACAAAGGCAAACATTTTCATCATATGATGGTGTGACACAACTAAACCTCTGAGATGCTTCCAATACCCAAAGCTGTATCACTGAGCATAAGCCTTCACTCGAAGACAAGACAGAACTGTTAGAAAAGACAGATTCATTCAAAGAACTTGCAAATCTACAGTCACCCCCCCATCCTATGCTCCTTTATTTCAGCCTCTCCTTCTGATCTACCAACTAGAAAACAAGCACATCCTCTAGATCTGTATTTACATCACTCGTCCCTGCAGACTCAAACTCTGCCTCAGCCCCTACTCCCTGTTCACTGGGACATTCTGTCCTGTGCTTGCTGAAAGTTTGGCCTTCCACATGTGATTAACTGATCCCAGAAGAGCAGCTTCCCCTCCTCCAGATATCTGGTGTGTGAACAAAGCAAGAACAAGCCTGGGAACACCATGGGCAGCTTTATCCTATGTTATGCTGGCTGTGGATCAGTGTGCTTTGGGCCTACCTGAAGGCCTGGGGAAGGCTTTCCATAGCTCCCCTCCTTTCACTGCTGTTTCGTCTAAGGACAGCCCAACCTAGGGGTTGACTGGGGAAGGGGCCACCAAACATGTCTAGCAGTGTAAATGGAAAGAATACTGCAGAAAATATTTGCTGATAACTTTCATTCTATCCCATCAGCTAAAAACATACATTTGCATGTAACTTGCAGTGCCTTCCAATGCCTCAGATGTAGGAAAAAAACAAACCAGACATTTATCAGCCAAAGATCATAAGACACTCAATATCCATAATACATTATAAATACATTAGATGGTCTACTTACTGAATATTATTCCAGGAATAAAGACGTTCAGAGTATACTTTTCTTTTGTACTACACTACCTATATATTTTGTGGTCAATACTGTGTTTTCTATCTATAAAATTAGCAGTTGGAAACCTGAAATCAAAATTTAAATATATACATATATCCATGATTCTTTCTGATCATGGCACGCAGATCTTTGCAGTAATGGTGGGTTATGGTCATTCCTTCAGCTCTGAGATGTCTTTCTGCACAAAGCAGTGACAGGACAACACATGGCGAGTGGCATACCAAAGTACGGACTGCATGAAGTTGAACTGCATTTTCCCATCCTTACTGCCCTGCTAGCAGTCTCTGCTCACTTGTGTTCCAGGCCAGTCATGCCCAGTGGCTCTCAGCCCAAGCTGCTTCTCTCCCAGCCCTGTCCCTGTGAGCTACCAGACAATGAAACTGTAACTGAAAAACCATTCTGCTGCAGAACTGACTACACCGGAACCATTTTGCATGCCTACATTTAGCAAAGATACTTTCGCATACATTCATGCACCCTTCCATTTTCCACTCCTCCAAAGCAGGATAGAGAACATATTTTTGTATTTTTGTAGTGGAAATGTTGCCCAGTTTTGTCCATGGAAGGCAGAGCTGATTTCTGGCTAGATGCCAATGTTCAAGTTCAGGAATGAGATACTGCTGTACAACTCTGAGAGTGAGTTACTTTCCAGGGTCTGATGAGACATCAGCATTGGAGTATGCTCCTCTGTCGAATTCTCACTTTCTGTGCGCCTAAAAAAGGAAGAAATAGAAAAAGAGAGATGTTGTTTGACCCCAAACGTTTGTCATCTCTTTCACCAGCACCAATAGGAAGGTGAAGTAAGACAAGGAGCAGTAGCAGAGACTACTTGTAAGATCTATGCTACAGGAAAACATTTCATACAGGACATTCTGTGTATGCTGAAGGAGTGCCTGGATCTATAAGGAGACTGAAGGCTGCTGAGCAAGTCCTCCTTCAGATCACAAGGGAGCAAAGTACCTCCTGTTTTACGACATGATAAAGGCCCAGCCCACGAGGCACAAGGTCCTTTTAAACCATCTTTCTTAATCACAGGGAAGAGCACAAGCTCAAGTTCTGGTCTTCCATGGGACTACCCAATCTTGCAGTAAAGGAGCACGTGCATAAACATAGCTGGCAGTCACATAAACAGATACAGGCACATGCCTACTTACATGTGCGCAGGAGAGGCCAAAAATAAGCAGAAGTGCAGACAATACCAAGGATGAAGGAGGTTTGGAGGTGGATAGTGAAGCAGGTAGTGAAAATGCAGCACACACCAGTGTTGAGCGTGGAGCAGTGGGGGGACTGGGAGTGTGGCAGGACGAGAGATGCATAGAAACACACAACAAAAGTGTGCAGTGGAGAAATTCTGAGGCAGGAAAGACTTCATTGAAGGAGAGAGCAAGACACAGATCAAGGAGAAATAGAAACAGAAGCTCCAAGGGACAGAGAGAAACCATGATGTTTCAGCTCATAGAAGGTGTTAGTAGCAAATGGAACATGAAAAAGGGTGATGAAGTGTAAGAAGAATCAGCAGAATTTGTGTTGATTTGCCAGCAGTGCAATGGCTGTGACTATACTATGCAGGTGGGTGCCCTCCAGCTGTACTCTGAGTGAGACTTACAGCACAGCATTGAATTTCCTGCGTAAGAGGTAGTCAATGACATCAGGGTCTGTCTGAAACAGTCTCCTGAGGATGTCATGCTGTGTTTCTGGAGAGACCTAGGAGAGACAGACAGACACTGCTCATGGCACCCTACTGTTATTTCTTTCCCATCATCTGCCTGAGGTTATAATATCTGAACCTCCCACCATCACCTTCTAGCTCCTTCCTTCAAGGTGCTCCAATCTTTTTTTCCTCCTTCTCTGGGACTTTTGAGAGATAAACGGTACTGAAGTGCCACTGCTGCAGCTTTTGGCTGGTTGTTTCCTGTCCCATAGGAGTTATTTGTGTGGGTAGAAAGTGACAGAAAAGATGGGGCTTATGAATCAATAGGATTCTATGATTCTATGACCTGTTTGTGGTATGCCCCTCATCTCAGTCTTAATGAGATCAGTAACAACCCATCCCAAATTAATATTTGCATGTACCATGAGGAATTAATCACATTTCTGCAAGTCACCTGCTGTTAAGTGGGGCTGTGAGTATATCTTTGTACAACCATTAGGAAAGAGTTCAAAGAAGAAAAGGTCTAGAGAAGATGACCTGAGAAAGCTTCACGTACCTTGAACAAGGTCTGATAATGCTCAATCAGCCTTTGAACCACCAGTATGATAGCTGTACTGTCTTCAAAGTTCATGGCTCCAGCATCTTTTTCTCCAGGCCTCTCTTTCTGAAGGATATTGGGACCAAAGATAGTGGCCAAGTTTGAAACTGTCATTTTATTCCCAGGGATCTAGTAAGCAAGAACAAAGAAAAACTGCAGATGTAGCAACATGCAATATCCAGGATAACCTCACAGGAACACGAGCTATTGAGTGACAAATAGAAAGTTGATCTGGGTCCAGCTCGGTCTTCTCTGAGCATAGGGCTAACCTCAAGGCTGTGTGCAGCCTTTCTTTGCATCATTCCCACTTAACTCACTTTGACAAGCTGTACAAGAAGGTGACATCATGTTACAGTTTGGGACAAAACCAATCTCTTTGCATCATGAGGAGACCTAGAGCTCAAACTGTCCAGAGAAATCAAAATCAACCTCAGTGAATCATGGTAAGTTCCTCATGACAATTGGAGTTGGAAAAACCTGGGGTTACTGCAAACCAGAAAAATGGAACTGAGAGCAAATTAGACTCATCACAGAGAAGGAAATTAATTGAAAATACGTTTGTTTATCTTTTCCTGTTTTTTTCTTCCTTTGCCTTAAAATGTCGCCTGCCCTTGTTTCTGTGAAAACAAAACCCATTCCAGAACCTTACCTGTATGACAGAGTAGCATCAGGTGTGCAGTGTAGAGCAGCCTGGATTATCACCTTTAGCTACTGTTCTAATCAGATGAATTAAAAATGCACAAAACTCCTCAGCCTTTGGCTGGCTCAAGAGTATCCACAGGAGAGAGTCATTGCAAGCCCAAGGTGTCAAAGGATTAAGCCAAGCTTGCGATTACCTTTGGAAGGTCTTCATCAACAAAGTTTAAACAGTCCTTTGCCATAGAGCTGACCACTGTGGATGAGCCTTACCTCCTGGCCATTGGGGCCCCAGGAGTTCTCAGCATGCCGTGCCACCTTGCTAAGGAACTGCAGGAGACGGTGCAGCGTGTCACTGTGGCAGGGGGGCAGCAGGAAGAGCAGCAGCTGCAGCACAGCCAGCTGTTGTGGGCCCTCCATGGCTGGACAGAGAGAAGATCATTGTTTAGTGCAGTTCCTGGTCTGCTAGACGCATATCTCCAGCTGGACAGTTCTACTTTAAATTTGCAGTAACAAGTTCTGGAGGGAGCCAGACAGGTTCTACCCTTTACAGTAAATCAGTAAAGCCAGTATTTCATCCTGCCTATGCAGGGATGTAATGCATTTAATACTGTACAGACCGTGACCAAAGACTGTCCTAGGCCAGTGATCCTATAATCTGGTTATTGATGTGGAAGCAGAGAATCCAGGATTTGAATCATCAAATATGAGAAGGATGGAAAGGAGGGGAAAGAGAGACAAAGAGAAGGTGAACTAGACCAAGAAAGTGTGAGAATAGCAGCGGAGACAGTCTAAAAATCCAGTCACCCAAACTGTGGAGGGTAGATGGATCTCAACAGAACATTTGCAAAGACACCCATAGGAGTGGAAAGCACTGGGCTGAGATACTGCATAGCAAGCTGAACTGTGCTGGAGCCTGGTGAATGCACAAGGAGAAAATTCCCTTTTTTCCATACAAAACCAGAAGTAATGGGTGGACTGTGAAGAAAGAGAGCAATGCACTCTGAGTGCTTACAGGCTGTGCTGAGGAAGGCTGTGTAGAGTTCCCTGGGAATCAGTGAATCTGGCATGTCACGAAGAAACTCTTTGAGCAGAGCAGCGACATCATGAACACTTTGATGCTCATCCAAGAAGACATCCAGCCCATGGTCAAACTCTTCTCTCAGCTTAAAGGTGGAAATGAGAAGAATAAAACCAACAGTCACACTGTCAAAAAATGTTCCTAGTACAGAACTGCTGAAAGGAGGCATGCCAGAACCCAAGAGCGACTTGCTACTGACAAGAGGGAACTCTGAATTGCCATTAGGTGAATGAGGCCTAACTGCTAAAGGCAGCTTGGAGAGATGAAGCTTGCTATCCAGAGCTGGGCAAAGGACTCAACAGGTTACAGATTGCTTGTTCTCCAGTATATTCCTGCAATATTTTAGACCACATGACAGTGTCTGCTTCATTCATTCACCTTCCACACAAACATTTATCCTGTGGATATGAAAATGCAGAAAGGATGCAGTGAGTGCCCCACTTTACCTGCTGAACTCTTTTCTTGGAGCTCCCAACCCGGAAGATGCCCACCGTTTGGAGACCTGGGAGACAGACAGGTTAGTGCTCTGCATTCCCACAGCACCTTGTAGCACCAGGGCACGTTAACATCATGGAAACAGTTATCTTGCCCTGCTTATGAGGCAGTGTGTTTTTCTCTGTTCTTGGCAGAGACAATAAGAAGAAGAAAGGTTTGGGAGCTATAAGATTTGCTGGGGTTATCTGTGGCTCAGGAAGGAGATCTAACCTTAAAGTCACTCCAAACTATAAATTGGATTTACAGGGGAGGTTAAGGCCAGCACAATAGGAATGGGTTGATTGATACACATGGGTGACATTCACCTCTCAGTCCAGTGGTTACCCCCAGCTTGGAGAACTCTCGCCACATGACTGCTCAGCAGTGCATCCTGCCCCAGAAATCTGCTGCCACCTTTTCTCTCTGAAAACTGCCAGGCCAAACAGCCCTGGCCCAACACCTACAATGGCTTTTACCATCCTACTTTGGGACTGGTCATCTGGCTGGAGGGAAATCCTTATTTACCATATGTTTCAATGTGTTTGCAACATCTGTCCACAATCCGTGGGACCTGCCAGCTGATGGGGTTGAGGCTTAGCATCTTTTTCTTGCCCAGGTTCCTCCGGGGATCCAGCTCATGGGGATGTGACAACTGCAGTGCCTCCAGCAGCTTGGAACTGTTGCCACTCAGTTCAGTGATGCAGTCCACAGACATGGCTCCCTGAGATGAAGCAGAGGTGATTCACAAGGTGGCAGGAACTGTCCCACAGGACACCACCATGCTTGTTACCATAGAAGTTAGTGACAAAGAGAAGCATGGCCTCCGAATGAATATAGAGGTCTACAACAAGCCTAACTTGGGTTGTTATAGAATCACAGAGGAACATTTCAACTGTTGTGCCTTCATTTATGTGCACTGTTCCTAGCGTGAGTGTTTCTAAAAACAGCCTTCCTATTGGGACAGAGCCTATACTGCATGCAGACATGGGGAAAGAATAAACATCCCCAAACCTGCCATCTTTATGAAATGTACTGGATTTAGTCACCTACATTGGAGTTTCTCTACACCAGGATTTACAAGGATGTGACAGAGATCAGGCATGGGTCTCTACTCCAAAGAAATGAAGCAAACTTAATCCAAGTTACTACATACATCCTCTCACAAAAAAATAGAACTAAAACCAAGGTGGCCAAGGCTGACAAGTTGCACCACCTTCCTTGTTCTTTGATGCAAAAGGAGTCAAACACTGCAAGCAGATCATCTCAGCATCGTTGCCCCTCCACCAATGAAAAGGGTCTCACCCTGCTTTATGGAGCCAGCAGGACCCACCATCAACAATCGATTTCTGACGGGAGTTCAGAAAATCTGAGGTCCTGTCTCTAACTGCTACATTGCCAAAAATCTGAGATGACAGATGCTGGTACTGCTCAACATGATGTTATTCAGTGGAGGGTCTGAAAAATCTACACTACTGATGATGAATCTACTCCCATTCCTATCTGCTGTAATAGGAATGTGGCCTTGTTGCTTCTGGGGACCTTGGCTTTCCTGAGCTCCAAGGCTCCATAACGGCTGGTATAGGCTGGCCCACTCCTCACAGTCCATCTCTTCTGTAGCATTAGCCCCTACGTGCATGAACAGTAGCCATCACATTTGCCTGAGCCTCCCCAGCCTGCAATACTATCACAACGATTCTGCCACAGAAGTTAGCTCATTTCTGCAATCGTACCCTTCGTTGACTCCAGGAAGAGTTATGGTCAGGAAAATCTGGGGAAAGAGGCTCTTCAGGGAACACTTCGTAAGGTACCAGCAAACAGCCCCTGCCCAGCGGGGATCTCTTCTGCATCTGAGCCCGAAAGTTTGTCACTGTTTCTTCCACCTCCACGCAGAACCGGCGGCTGCTCTTCACTGTTTCTTGCAGTTGTCTGTTTGCACGGTCATTGGCAATGACTTGGCACAGTGGGATCCCAAAAGTCTGAGGAGAGCAGTCTAAGAAAAAAACATAGGAGAGATGGAAAAGTATTGTTAGCAGTGAAAATCAACTAGGGCAGCACAGGCCAGCTGCCAATGACACACATGCATGGCCAGGTAAAATAATTAACTCACAGAAGAGAATACCACGATACTGTAAAGGTAACGACCAGCAAGAGTGCAAGCAGGACTGCATGTAAAACAGACTGAATACATGAAAAGGAGACATGTAGCTAGAGTCCAAGATGGCAGACCTGCAACTATCAGTCTCTGCTCTCAGTTTCTCTTCCATTTCCCTAGGAACCTGAAGTGGGCATCAGAAATATCCCAAGCGAGCCAGAGCAAAACCAAGGGGAGCTGCTGTCCTTGAAAAGGACTGGGACATTGCTGTGATGGCACTCAGAGTGCTAGGCAGCATGGCGGGCAAGTGGGGAGAGCTCCATGAGAAAGACAGCAGGCTGAAGGAAGAGGAAGGAAATGCAGGGAGCATGCCAACAAAAGCAGCCTCCTTCAACATGCTTGTTGCAACTTGCCTCAGTTTTTCTGAAATTTCTTTTCTTTCATAGGTCACAACCCCATGAAGACACCCTACTATCTATTAAGCATAGATTTTAAGTCACCAGAAATATTTTATACCAAACATTATTAGCAAATTATAACCTCCAGTCTCCTACAGGGTTTGCATCAGCTATGTCTGTTCAGAGGTGACAGTCTTGGTACTAATGAAATGCTGGGCAGAATAGGATCCAGGGGTATTGGTCAACAGCCAGGGGAACATGAGCCAGCAGTGTGCCCAGGTGGCCAAGGCCAATGGCATCCTGGCTTGTATCAGCAATAGTGATCCAGCAGGACCAGGGAGGTGAACATCCTTCTGTGCTCAGCATTGATGAGACTGCACCTTGAGCACCATGTTCAGTTTTGGGCCCCTCACCACAACAAAGACATCAAGACCCCAGAAAAGGGCAACAGAGCTGTGAAGGTTATGAAGTACAAGCCTTACGAGGAGTGGCTGAAGAAGCTGGGGTTATTTAGGCTAGATGAAAGGAGACTTGGGTGAGATATTATCACTCCCTACAACTACTTGAAAGAAGGTTGTATCAAGCTGGGGGTGGGGGGCCAGTTTCCCAAGCAAAAGAAGATAGGATAAAAGGAAATGCCTTTGAGTTGCACCGGGGAGGTTAATGTTGGATATCTGGAAAAAAGTCTTCACTGAACGGGTTGTGAAATATTGGAACACACTGCCCAGTTATGTCCCCATCCCTGGTGATATTTAAAAGTCATATATATGTGGTGCTTAGGGACATGGTTCAGTGGTAAACTTGGCAGTGGTAGGATAATGGTTGGACTTGATGATCTCAGAGGTCTTTGCCAACCTAAGTGATTATGTGACTTTTTCCACAAATAATTCTCCCATCCACCCCCCCCCCCCAACTCCTTGTGGATACTAGAAGACTCTTCCTTATTTGCAGCACACATGCCACCCTGGGCCGAAGGGTTTTGCAGCAGAGCATGAGCAACAAATTCACTTTATAAATTATCAGACTGCTGGTCAAAATTTTCTTTGGGTGGACTTTTTGTGCTTTGGCGAAGAAAATTATTAAGTGCCCATTCCCAGCTGGTTGTGCACTAGACTTCTGTTGTTCCTAGCTTTTTGGCTTACATCCTTCAAGGGACAATAAGGTCAGAACTCAAACAGAAAGACTGGGGGTTGAATGAACAAGTAGACAAGACCACACCTTTACACATACACATTTGTGCAAACATGACAAATCACCTTGCTAACTTCAGATACCTGGCTCAGCCCCCTTAAAAATCACCCATTCTGTTTGAGAGTAGTGACCAAAACCCTGCTTAGAAGGAGGCTACTCACCTTTCTTCTCCTTTGAAAAGCTCTCCAGTTTCTGACGGATAGATTTACCGCCCTTAGGTCCAACTGTGGGGAGAAAAGCAAAGGCTCTGCATCATTAGGCTGCTTTGGCACAGCCCCGTCTTGAAGCTGTTTACCTTTCTGCGCCCTCACAGGTAGAACATGTCCACAGGCACCTCCTTCAGGTAGGGGGATACTGTGGACTTGACACAGTGGTGTTACAGACCATGCAGGACAGCACACTGGCATCAGCTGCGTGGAGGACTACTGTCATAGAATTATAGAATCACCGAGGTTGAAAAAGACCCTACAAGATCATCCAGTCCACCTATCACAAATAGTTTTCTCTAAACCATGTCCCTCAACTGACAACTGTCCTCCTGAAGTGGAGGAAGGGGCCCTGGCCCCTCTGAAGCCTGACACCTAGACAGCAGGATCCCATAGCACTAAACTGTGGGTTAAAAGCAATTCAAGTGTGGGACTCACCCCTATCTGGCTAACAGCAAGAGGCATCTGAGAAGTATGACTTGTTCCAGTATTTTGCTGCATAAGTGAAGTGCCTCCTGCCTGCGTATGAGGCTGTACATAGGAAAGCCTTCATTGCTGTAGAGCATGTCATGGAAGATTACTGCCCATGCATGATAGTGGGGCCTCTTTCCCACATCCTTCTGCATTAAGGCCAGACTCTTGAGCCCCATTTGTGATATGACAGACCAGGGTAACATGTTCCAACCCACTGCTTGCACTTAATTCTCCATGTATTTCTGCTGTGCCCACAGCAATTGCTCCAGACTTCTACTTGGCTTAAGGCAACACCATACTTTACTGCACCTTCCCAGCTGCCAGGCATGGTAGACATGTAATCCAGGAATGCACGACAACTGCAAGCTAGTGGTTACGAAATACAAAACAGGCAGCAAAGTAATAAGGATTACAAAAAAGAATGAACCACAGCTGATCTTTCTGGTGGCATCCCAGCTTCCCACATCCCACTCCTGATATGCGATAGCTATAGAGTGTGTGGGATATGCTGCAGCCAGCATATGGTTCTTGCACATGAAAGGCCAGTGGTAAAAGCCTTTGCTGCCCAAAGGCTGTAGAATAAAAGTGTTCCAGCCACTTTAAATCCTGTCATGTTATATGTGACCCTGAATTGATAGTGATGTTCTAATGATCACCTAAACACTGGGAAAGGTGCTTTAATTCAGACTCAGAGGTCTGGTCTTGATACTGGAAAAGGAATACAGCCCTACAACTGTTTCTGAACTTTTTTTTTTTTTTTTTTTTTTTTTTTTTTTTTTTTACACAATATAAACAAAAAAATTAGACAAAACATCACCCAGAAATCCCATTTTGGTCCTAGACAGCCAAGCCCCACACTTAAGTAACCTCAGACATTCACATCCAGGAACAGCAGTCACTATTTTTTCATTGCATCAATTAACTGAAAACTCATCCATTAATCACTCTAAATCTTCCCAGAACACATCATCCTACCCTGGCCTTTGCCGTTTATTAAGAATTCTATTCTTAGACGCAGCTTGTATAAATGTTTGGGTTATTTTGCAAGATTTAGAAGGAAGCTACTTTGATATGAACAGTATGCACATGAAAACACAGTGTACATTAATCATTATACAGCACTGTATGTTTTGCTTCAGTAAATGAATAGCAAGAAGTTGAAGATCCATCTGGAACAAAAAACACTACCCAGATATAGAAGAAAAAATGCCAGCAAAACTCCACTGTCTAAACACACAGTCACAATAACTCTCTACTCCTGGAGCCATCCAAATGTTCCTAACAGAAACAAACCAGGAGGCAGCAGATAGTAAAGAAACCACATGGATCTCCCTCTACAGAAGGCATGAGCCGCTATCTCCGTGGCAGAGTAATGCCTATGACCTACTTCAAACTTGGGAGACAAGGACAACTTCTTTTCACCAGTAGTTGTACCTCCTTCAGAGATTTCATCTTGTTTTGATCTTCTACTTGAACAACAGACTTGTTCTTGCAGAACTGACCAACATGAGATGATAGTGTCCATCACAAGGATCTCCTGCAGTTCAGGAGGGCCACCCCAGAAGTGGCTATTTACTCAAAAGTCTGCAATGCTGCAGAAGTTTGTTGGGACTGAATGAGGCAAGGACTGAAAGAAGAGAGTAGCCCAGGGATATTAAAAGTGTCCAAAAGGGTGGCTCACACACCCTGTGTTCCCCATAGTGCATGGTGAGGATTAAAGAAGATGCTGAACATGTTTTCACTGAGGGAAGTAATAACAATCATATGGTGGCTGTTTATTAGAGAGCTATTTATCAAAGAAATTTCACGTAAGCAGTTTTTGGGGAACAAGCACAGACAGGTCAACGTACTCAAATGGAGACAATGAAGACCAAGTTCAGGCACTTCCAAACATTATGAACCTCCCTTTAACACATCAACTCAGGAGAACAGTGTTGCAGGTGCAATATTTTCATAGCTAATTCTCACCTATTCTTTTACATTGACTCCCAGCCAATGGACTGAAAAAAAAAAAAAAAAAAAAAAAAAATAGAAAGCTGAGGGATGCAGAGACAGAGCTAAGGAGAAAGGAATTCACTGAAAAGCACTTTCTTCAAAAACCAAGTGAACGTAAGATACATAACACACAAAGATGGGATCAGGAGTTTACACTCCCTGTGCTCATTCTGCAGGAAGAGAGGAACCTGACTGACAGAATGCAGGACACGGAAGGAAATTGTCGATTTGCTTCTCGCCCTGCTGTTGTTCTGTAGAGAAGCTCCTGCTGCATGATATCACTGAGAATGGTTCACAACAGCTCAAAACAAACAAACAAATTGGGGAGAGCAGAATGTTTATGAACAGAGTTCCCCAGAGACTGAAAGAAACTGCAGTGGCTGCTGCTGCAGCCCTGGGGTGATTGGATATCCTGGGAATGAGAAGGGAACTTTCTTCTCTTTCACTCTTCTTGAAAATATTTCATGCAATGGAAATGTTCAAAAATATTCCAAATATTAACAAAACAAGAAACAAAACTTGAATGTCACCCAGAATAAATAGATGCAGTTACATTCTGGCACCTGTTTTCTACACAATACGAGTCTGAGGATGAGCGATAGAACAAACTCCTTCTCTGTAGCAGCACCCCAGAGCTGGGGGGCTCCAGCCCCAACCTCCTGTATCAGTGGTGGCAACAGCTGTAAGTGGGCAGTGAGGCTGGAGAACCCTTTGCAACTGCTCTGCTAGTGTACAGCTCATGATTAATAAGCATCTTTTGCCATACTGAGATGCCAAAATATGGCCCAGAGCATAGAGAAGGCATTTGCATCTAGTCTTCCACTGTTAAATTACAAGTATAATTTGAGAAGCAGTCAACTGATTCTCAGCTCATAGTACTTACTTGGTTAGATGTATAGTTGTTAGGGAACATAGGCAGTTATGGGAACCTAGAAAATGCTTTTATTTCTTTGTAGGCCGGGACAGAGGACCATAATCCTCTGTGGAATTTCTATATTTATCTGCCCATTAATTTCAGAAGCATATCCTCTAGCCTTGCATAAGCCCCATCTCAGCATCAGAGCTTTGTGCAGAACATTAATCCACAAAACAAAGCTTACCCCATCCCAGTGGAATTGCCCCGCTGGAAGCCCTTGCTAAATCATGTTATATCTGTTTTGGATTAGGAGGACCAAAGGCAGGGTAATATTCTCACACTCTTATCAGCACAAAAACCCTCCCCAAAAGGTTGCTTCAGCCTCCAGTGCTCAGACCAAGGCAGGAAATGAACAAAAAATGGACAAAAACTTTTAAGTGAAAGCGTCACAAATACCCATCCGTAAACATCATCCCACATTATGAAATGCAGGAGTGTGGATAAATAGAACTAAAGGCTCAGACCTCAGTCCTCCCCTGGCAGATGCCATCCTCTCCCACCTTTAGCCAGGCTGATATCTCCAACAAGCAGCTTTTCTTGCAGCTGGTAGAGGGCTAGCTCCTGCAAACTGGCTCTTTCCAGCTCTGAAAGGCTTTGCAGGGACACAGGTTGCATTTTGGTGCTTTGTTCTGGCAGAAGAGCTGAGATAAAGGTCCTCTGAAAAACACATACATAAAAACAAGAGTCAGGATTACTTTGCCAACACACCTGCTTAGGATAAGAAGCAACTGAAAATGCCACACAGTGTCTTCCCAAGCGCAGACATCCTGCTTCCTCCTCTCTAGAGAGCGTGCTGGTTTGTGACCACACTGCCCCACTGCACCCTTCCAAACAAAGGCCTTTGCAGGCACCAGGGATCTCAGCCCTTGCTCTTGAAGTCTCATAGGATCCCAGAGGCCTCTCGTTGCTTGGCAGAGACCTTTCTGGCCAGGTGCTCTTCTTTCACATCATTACGTCCCCCAGCTGTACCCACTGACCTTAACCCTCGGCTGCAAATACTTGCTACTACTATTGGAGATCAACTCTGGGTTTGTTCAGACTCAGACTTACTTCATCCTCCCTCTCTCTCAAAAGTAATATCTGACAGAAACCTTGCACCAGTCTTTGCAGGATCCTGTGCATGTGCACACGATTCTTCCCATTTACCCAGATCTCTGTGCTAGATACATGGGATGAATAACTGAGAACTGGCAGTTTCCTGAGAACAGCCTTGAGTATCTCAGTATGGTTTATGGTGGCTGTGGGAACACTGGAGTTACAGGCAGTCCAGTACATCCTCTCTCCTCCTGTATGACAAAAGAACATGACAACAGTACCTTCTAGCAGGATACTAACCTGATGGAGCAATAGCAGAAAAAAAAATTTACTCACCCTTCCCAGTTTACCAATGACTGGCAGCAGTTCAAAAGGAGAGCAACCTCTATCCAAAGAAATACTGCTACTTTGGCTGCTAACCCTTAAATGAAAGTGAGGAGGGGGGGGATCCAGGCTCTTTTTCATTACTCAGGTGCATTGCCTGCGCCTGATCTCCCTTGGTTAGCCATGCCTTCTCACCTAGTGTTCAACTATTGGTTCAGGCTGTGAGGTGGTAATTGCACTGCACCTCCTATGGTGTGCACCACCAGGACAATCCCTTCCCTCACCCAGTGGCTGTGCTGGGCCTGATGCACCATAGGGTATGGTGGGCCTTTGGGCCACCAGGGTACACTGCTGACTCAGATTCAACTTATTATCACCAGAAACCCCAGCCCCCTTTCTGTGGGACTGCTCTCCAGCCTCTTGTACCCCAATTTGTATGTAGCCAGGGTCACCCTGTCCCAGCTGTAAAATCTGGCACTTGCTTTTCTCAAACTGCATGTGGTTGGTGACTTCCAACCCACATTAGTTAAGATCGCTCTTCAAGGATTCTCTACCCTTGAGGGAGTCAACAGTTCCTCCCAGTTTAGTACCATCTTCAGAATTCTGCAATCTTAAAATCAGCACACACCCCACTAAATAAGACGTACAGCCCCATTTTATTCAAAGTTGTTCTCCTCTTCGGCAGTAATTGAGAGAAAGGAACAGCATTAGCAGCACGTACACAGAAATGACATAGTAAAAGTACAGCTATGAAGGAGCTTTCCCGAGGAGGGCTTTAAAGCAATAACCAAAAATAAATGGCTGAATAACTCCCAGAGGCAGAGACAAGGGAGAAAACACCCAGGAGTTCTGGCCCATGTGGTGTAAGCAGACAGTCTGTACAGGTTCTTGTGGCAGCCTCAGCACATTATTGACTGCACACCTCCATTGCCTGTGCCTGGGGAGGAATGTTGTGTGGGGCACTGTTTGCTTTGGCCAGGTTTTCAGCTCCTAAACAGATTTAGAAAGTTACATAAATTTTAAAAAAGAAAAAAAAGAAAAAAAAAGAAAAAAAAGTTGTTATGAGCTTCCCTGAAGGGCAAACCGTAAATGGAAATTCAGCTAAAGGCAAAGATATTCTTGCAAGATTTGAAGTTTAGAACAAAAACTATGTGCCTCTGCAGGGATGACAAAAATGAGATGCAACACAGCCAAATTGTCTGGTAGTGCTCAGCACCTCTGTACAATTAAAAACCTGCCACTGGGGTACCCAGGGGCCCATGGCTGTCCAGTACACTGGATCAGGCTAAAGCTCCAGTAAGACCTGGTGCAATGCTGTTTACATTGCAAGTAACCCTGCAGATAGCTAGACTTAGCACAAAGCCATCCAGCGTTTGCAGCTCAGAGAGGCATTAACAAGGAAGCCAGAGAGACACAATATCTGATGGAGGCATTCGTATCCTCCTTGAAAACAAAGATTTGGATTACTCCACTATTAAAAAACATCAGGTTCTGCTGCTTTGTTTGGCTTCTCCTTAGCTGATCTGATCTATCCCTCCATGCGAACCCTTCACGCCAGACTCATGGGAGACCCACCATTTATAACTCAGTACATTGCTTTTTATAACTTTCACACTGGGGGGAAAAAAAAAAAAAAGAAAAAAAAATGGACGGAAAATATATATTATTAATGGTCTCAAAGGGATTGCATCTTAATAGTCACTTAAACTACACTTTAACTGGTCCTACCAAATTTTACAGAAAGAATGCTGAACTCCTTGAGAGCAGCCCTGAGGAGAAGGGCTGTTCTGGTGAGTAAAGAGCTCATCACAAGCCAGCAGTGTGTGCTTGCAGCCCTGCAACCGTATCCTAGGCTGCATCAAAAGGGGGGTTTGTGCCTTTCTGCTCTGCCCTCGTGAGGCCCCATGCAGAGCTGGAGCCCAGAGGAGGATCTTGAAGGTGATCTGAGGGCTGGAGGACCACTCCTATGAAGACAGGCTATGGGAGCTGGATGTGTTCAGTCTGGAGAAGGCTGTGGGGAAACCTCATTGCGGCCTTCCAGAACTTAGAGGCAGGAGGGGGAATGAATTTTTACATAGTCTGATTGTGATAGGAGAAGGGGGAATGGTTTTAAACTAAAAGGGGAGATTTAGGTTAGATGTTAGAAGGAAGTTTTTTACTCAGAGGGCAGTGAGGCCCTGGCACTGCTGCCCAGAGAGCTGTGGGTGCCCCATTCCTGGGGGTCCCCAAGGCCAGGTGGGATGGGACCTGGGCAACCTGAGCTGATGGGGGCAGCCAGCCCATGGCAGGGGTTGGGACTGAATGAGCTTTAAGGTCCCTTCCAACTCCAGCCATTCTGTGACTCTGATTCTACAAGATTAAAATGCTGACTTTGACAGGCAAGTACAACTCCATCTGCCAGCAATAGCTTGTGTGTTTCTGCCATGCCAGGAGTCTGGGATGGGCAGAAGTGGTGTCTAGCTAGGAGCTGCCTGGCAGCACATGCACAGCTCTGCTAGCATCAAATGCTGCAGATGGAGAGACAAGTGCTGAGAGTCAAACTGAAGGAAATTACCTTTGTGTAGGTGATGCTCACTGCTCCAGGCAGAGACCCTGCCTGAGCTAAAAAGATGGTCAGAGCATCACTGAGGATGCAGCTGCCTTGGGGAAATGAGGAGGAAGCCTGATTAGGGTAGAGAGCAGAAAAGAGAGTGAGCAGGAAGGAGAAGTCAGGTCTTATCTGGTCCTATTCCACAATCTATAAGAGCAGCCTTATAAAATACCACCGTCACTAGTTTTATAATAAACTTTTTGTTCAGTGGTTAACCCTCAAAATCCTGGCCTACTTGCAATAACTGTATATTTATGCTCATGGGTGCAAGCTAGATTGAGAACAACACCAGCAACTTCCAACTCTTGCTGATCACAGCATACAAATTCGTGGATCCCATGGGTGTCCCAAGATATGTGAAGCCCTGCAGAGCCTTGTATGAGATTAGAAGAATAGCCTGAAAGGAGGAAAATGCTGATACACAGTCAGGGTAAAAACAGTAATAAAGAAAAAAACCCTTTGAAGGTGGTTATCATAAAAACTGCTGTATTAACACTAAAGCAGAAATTAAATCTCTCATTGGTAATATTAACATGGCACTTCCCCTTTGCAATGACTTTCTTTGCTTATTTTCAGGACTAGGCCCTATTTAAATAATTTCATGGGAAAAGCTCAGCACATCTGCCCCTTCTAATCCCATACGGCTGCATTAACTCCCCCTTTTTCAGCAGTAAAGTCACTCTATTTCAGCTGGAATGAAGAACATGCATTTACCTTCCTCCTTTCCTTCTCACAGCATCACCAGTGACAGCCTAAGTTCACTTCTTTTCCTTCAGGATGATGAATCTTAAAGCAGTGTTTCCACCATGTCCACATGCAGCCCATGCAGAGAGTGAGGGAGTCTCCTGCTTGCTGGGAGGATGCAGTGAGAGAAGTGGAGAAGTGATGGGGAGGAGAAGTCGCAGCTGAAAGTAGACAAGGGGAGGAGAGGGGTGATGAGGAAATGAATTTTCTGCCAAGAGAAATGAGAGCAAGAAACATCCTGTGGAGACAGAGGGCAGCACTTCCCACGCCTGACAGTGTTTATTCCTTGGCAGAAAGGCTTATTGCTCAATTCCTCGTCCCCATGCTTTCCCTGCCCTTATCTGTCAACAACTAGGACACTCATAAAAGCAGTAGCTTTCCTGCCAGATGAAACCTGAAAGAGAAATTTGCTGCTTTGGTGCCAGTCAGCAAAGGCGAGTGGATGGTTTTCACCTTGGCTCTCCTCCATGAAGACCTCTAAACTGTTCCATCACATTGTATTAGAGATGTCCCTAGTGCAGATTGGTGTGGGCAGGATGGGCCAGGCACACAGCTCTTCTCTGTATCCATCAGGTCCTATGCAAAGCACTGGCATTAAAGAGCTCACAGGCATGATGGAACAGGTGTTCAGCTGGCATCTCATAGGACATACTGAGTGTGGTGGTTACCGATACCAGAGAGCCTTACACATCAACCCACAAAACATGTGTGTTAAAGCCTAAAATGAACACCCTGCGCATCAAGCACTTGGGGGACCACAGGACAGGCTTATGGTCTGTGACTTTGCGATATGGTGCAACCAGTTCCCTGCAGGACCATGCTGCCTCTGCTCTGCTGGTGACTGGGCAACTGCAGGGCCAGCTGTGCTGCCTGTCATCACCACTGTGCACAGCTGGGAGAAGCTGAGTCCAGCTGAGAGCTTGGTGCAGAGCCCTGGGTGGAAGCACTACTGCACTTGGCAGAGAGGAAGCACTGAATCCTCTTCATGAGTCTGTGTGCAGCGTGGAAGAAGGGTGACTGTCAGGAAAAGGTTTAATGAAGGACAATCTGCTACTGCTCCCATGGACACTGGGATGTGTATCAAATCACAGCACGGGGATGATGGGCCTTGTCTAGGTCTTGTCTCAGAGCCAATGACCCTGCTAACAGGGCTTTCTTCTTTGCAAGGAGCTGCCCTGGCACCTCGAGGACTTGGCTGTTTCTCAATGTCTGCAACTTCTCTCTTGCTTCCAGGAACGACAGAGCCCTGAATGGGATGTATCCACTCATTTGGTATCTACTCACTGGTGGCCACCCTTTCCTCAGTGGGATTGGCAGTGCCAGCTTCCATGCAGCGATCAAAAACACAGAAAGCTCAGCAAAGCTCACTGCTGAGTAACTCCTGGCTCCTGCCCTCCAGGACATTTTAGTCTCTCACATTACTCTGCTAGCACTCAGATGCCTGCATCATCACACATCCCAGCCTAGACCAACTCTCATATTTCCAGAGCACCTTTCTCCAGGAAAGTCTAGGTTATTCACAGGTTCTTTTTTTAAATGAATACCTCCTGTTCATCTGGGATCTGGTGCTGCTGCCTGGGGGGCTCAGCATCTCAGGGGCAGCAGGCAGAGCACCAGTTTCCACCAGCTGAACTGCTTCCGTCCCTACATCAGCAGCTCTTTCAGAGGTCACAGCTAGGCTTGCAGCTTCCCCTAGAATGAGAAGCCACTGCATGAAAACTCCCTTTGGATGCTGCGAAACTTTGTGGAGGATCATCTTTGTCAGTACTGGGGCTCTGCTGCAACAAACTTAGCACCACTGGAACACACACAGCACCTCATCAGCCCCACAAACTTTTGTCTCAGATTATTCATATGGTATCAGAAAAAACTTCCACAGCAACAGTCACATTATCTTCGTGGCAGTTCCAGGCAGAGCAAAGACCTCCAGGCTACCTGGATCCCACTGCTGTGTGCTCCATCTGCTCAATAAAGCATCAACACTGTCCCATGCAAGAAACTGTGTGATCCAAAAAGAAGGAACTCAGCAAGGCAAAAGCACCCTCCCTACCCTTACTGCTCTCCACCAATTCTGCCCGCCCTGGAAGCACTCTAGGGACAGCCAGATGCCATTCAGAGTTGTTTCTTACGTCCTTCTTGGAAAAAAACAAGAAGTTGTTCTTTGGGTAGCCTTGTGTGAAGCAAGGCATCGGACACAATGATCCTGGTATGTCCCTTACAACTCAGGATATTCTATGAATCCATTCTGTGATTCTAAGAACCATCCTTACAAAATGCAGACAGAGCCCGTGCATGTCCCTCTCTGCTTCCCCTAAATACACACTGTTTTTATTACTGTCCTCCCCAAGCACTGCCACAATTTGCAAACTCCAGCTGCTTTGACATTGCGTGCACTGAATTCAGTATCTGCTTAACAAAACACCACAAGAGCACAAGAGGGTAAGCAAGCCCCATTTCATACCAGTTCACTGTTACTTGCTTGCTGGCGCCTCTATATTTGAGTGCTCTTGAAATGTACTGGATGTTTTCTTGCATTAAGTCATGCATACTTTACATGTGGCAGCATCACTGAGGACAGCTTATGGGTCAGTGCCTGCTTTCTTCTTTCTGCTTTCTCTTTGTCCATCTGGTACTCGTGATTCAGTCAAGATAGTCTGTAGCAGGGAAAGGAGAAATCCTAAGCGCCACTGCAGAAATCCACCACTTACCTACATCTCAACTGCCTCAAACAGCTCCAGACCTCACCTTAAAAGTCTGCCCTAAAACTGGGAGTGGTGAGAAGGGCAAAGTGGTGACTAAGTCTCCGGGACTGCCCCGGCTGCATTTCCATCCCTTTGAAATAGGAGATCTGGTTCAGGACTCCCTGCAAGTCCTATAAGGTGCATCTGCCTCTTGGTAATTAGGTTGTTTTTTGTTTTTGTTTTTTTTTTCTCTAAGACCCCTCCCCATGGAGATATGCGGTATTACAGATAGGGCTGCTGAGATCCCGGCTTGCTTTATTAAGGGAGAAGATTGGATTTGTGATTAAACAAGCCAGATCAGGTTATATATTTCTGTGCAGTTTTATTTCCTTCTCTGCCAGCACTGGGATATGAATAAAAGGGTATATGTGTAAAAAGGCAAGCCTTTGCCATATGGGGAGATCTTGTTAAAATGGCCACAAAGTTTTTGAATGTAAATGTTCGTATTTGGGATCTGGCATGACAAAGGAGTCAGAGATGAAAGGCACACACAGCACTTGTCTTTCCTTCTGCCAGGACAGTCAGGAAATAGCATTTTTCTGAGCTTCCCAGCTGTCCTTGGTGATGAATTACTCCTTGTTTCCATTTAGTCCAGCTTCAGCTGGTCTGAATATATTCTATTTACAAGGGCAGTGAGATCAGTTCAAGTTGCTCCAGACTTCAGTGTGCTGACGTTGAAGGAGATAAACAGAGTAATTTGCTGATTCACCATAACAATTTTAATAAAATATGAGTCAGGATTTTCTTCTTTCATGTAATCATGAAATTAGGTTAGCATGCTTTGCTGAGCACTTAGGTCTACTATGTGTGTTCCCAATAGCATCTAATGTTCCTATGGTATATTTTTGGAAGCATAACTGGATTTACAAGGCCACATTTTCTCCTGTTTTCTCCTAGCTTCCCAACAAACTAACATTCACCACTCGGTGTCTTGAATTAGAAGCTCCATCTTCACTCTATTGCCAGTCATGATACCAAGTGTGTTTTCTGCAGCTTCTTGCCTGCTGGACTATCAAATCTTCATTTAAAATCATCACTCATGTGGGTTTCTCCAAAATCTAGCAGCTAGTGGGAAGGTTGCTGAATGTCACAGGAGTCACACTCAAATTAAAGAATACAGAGACACTTCTTTTCCCAGATGGTTCATTCATTTTGGAGCAGCCTTCTTCCTACTAGACCTTGCAGCTCACAACCTTTCAAATGGCACCTGCATTTCCCCTTTCATTTGTCTCACACTGTGTCGACCCACTTAGTGATGAGCCTTGATCTCTGCATGCTCTGGCAGTGCCTTTCTAGTTTCCCTCAGTTCAAGAAGCTATTTCAAATTGAAGTAGCTTCTGTAGAAAATGACATCAGTATTTAAACAGATTTCCTGAGGAAATCTTTAATGGCTATTTTTATAGCTTATTTTGTGCTTTTCAACTTTTTCCTCATTGGCCAAAGGTCAAAAAGTTATTTCATACAAGACCAGAATTTGAGCATCAGAACAGGAAAAGAGCTAATTCTGACTAATCTCATGGTTTTGATTGTTTTGAATTGCTTTCATTCTAAGCACCAGTGGCAGAAGAAAAAGTGAATTGCATTCTGTACTGAAAAGAACTGTTTTGGATGAATGAAAACATTCTCCACTTCTAGGCTCATGCAATAAATAAACTTAGCAAGTCTCTTCACATTTGTGAGTAAAACTCCATAAAAAATTGCAGGAGCCATAAAAGCTCAGATCTCAGTGGTCCTTTCCCTTTCCAGTTTCCTGAGCAGAAATCTGCAGATCAAGTAGCTCTCAAGAACCCTCTTCCACTCTGTAAGGTCTGATTAGCACGCTGTGGCTACTGAATGGAAAAAGCAGACATGGAGGATAAATTCCTTCCTGAAGTCTGGCCAAGCACTCCATGCAAGGCACCCCAGGACAAGAGGGAGAGCTTGCTGTGTTCTGACAGACGTGTGCAAGCTGTCGGATTCTCTCTGGCAGTCTGGAAAGTAAAATTTCTTACAGTAGCATTTCTCCTTTTTGTGTGCAAAAGCAAGGGGAATGCCTAGTTAAGCTGGAAAGTGCACTGTTTCCTCCCAGCTTGTCTCAGAAGCATAAGCTTAAAATCAAGGCCGTGGGGATTTTTTTTCCTCCAATCATTCTCTTTGAGACAGACCGTGCATCATATGTGACATGAAATTCTGCAGTTTTGGAGTGAAAATATAGCACTGTGATGGAATTTTCCAGCGGTAAAAACTACGAAACTATTTTCTTCCTCTCTACTGAACTGCAGAGCAGAGCTAAATGTGCAGGGTATCTCAAATCTAAATTCATGTGAGAATTGGGGGAAGCATAGATCAGGATCTGACCTTTACAATTCCAAGCTTGGTAATCTTCTTCATTTTTAAACTGCCTTTATTACTATCACAGTTGGAACTTACTCTGCATATCAAAATCGCTATGA